AACCACCTATATTTTGGGCAATATAGCTTTAGCTATCACAAGAAACCTAAAGCTATATGAGTTGGAAGTCGGTGCAAAAGGTGACATTGCCCAAAAATACTGACAAAAATTGAATCATGGAAGAACACCGAACGGCCAGGAAAAGGTTGCTACGAGTTGAGAAGTCAGGGGAACAAAAAAGAACAAGAATACAAACGGTACTTGGATCAAAATCTTTACCTCCCCAATTCCATATTTTCCCATCCTTAGTAAGCACCATCGTGAAGAACCCACCACAAGAAACAGCAGCGACTGGAACAGACAACGCCTTAACTTTAGAAGGGATACTTAGTCCGCCACCTTCATTTGGACCTCGACCAGGACCAAGCCCAAGCCTACCATCCCCTTCATCACGGCCCCAAGTATAAAGCTCACCTACACATAACTAAGCTTTCAAAGTTGCTGGTGAACTCAAAATCTTACAAACATTACAAACTACATCATTGAATGGGAGTGCCTATTTCAATAGTGAATTGAAGTAGACGCGAAAACATAGGTGTGCATTTTTACCCAAAATAAGATGAAAACGTAGGTGCATAAAATGGATGTATACATTTGAAAAGTCATGTAGGTATCTTTTAAGTGCATAGATCAAACTTCAAAGGGAAAGAAAGTTGCAGCAACACACCTTTCTCTGTGATGGCAGCAGTATGTGTTCCACTAGTTGCAATAGAGTCAAATTTCTCAGTCACAATACCTTCTACCAACCTGGGCAACAACTCTCTATGATAAACAGAATGCCCCAATGCGCCAAACCCACCATAGCCCCTGCAATGTCTTCCCCGACACGTCATACCATCAAATTTTTGTGCAAGATTGACAACAATTATCACAAGAAGTTTAAAATAATGTTTGTTCCAATGGCATACCATAAAACTTCATTGAGAATTATTACACCAAATCCAAAACTAAAAGACAACAAGCCATACTTTTTACCTTTGGAAGACATCATTAAACTACAAAATTCAGAATGCTTAGCTTTCACATATCAAGGCATTAATTCAATTAGAAGTACAATCCCTGAAATATCTTCTACAAGGAGTAGAATGTAACACATATATTGACGTATAGAAAAGTACACATAACATATAGTGAAAGAAAAGTGAATAGACAACTACTAGGCTGTCCGTATTTTATCTTCTTTTCTTTCACAAAGGTCCCACAGCCTCAAGTTCAGAATCATCAAGAAGCAACAGTAACACAGAATAAATTTGCAATACTCACCATGTAAAAATTTCACCAGAGGAAGTGAGGGCAACAGAGTGAACTCCACCCAAAGCAATGGAGCGAATGGCATCCAAGTAAGGGTTCAAAGTTGGAACAAATGCAATATTTTCATGGCCAAGGCCAAGACGGCCACCATCACCTTTACCCCAGATCCACAACTTACCATCCACAAGCAAAGCTGAATGGAATAAGCCACAAGAAATGCCAATTTCAGTCATTTGTTTAGCGTTGTTTTGGATATCAAGCCTGGACTTAAGCAACTGCCCTGGGGTTGGAGAAAAACTGAAGGAGGAACTCAATACATGAAGGTTTGCTACAGCAGCAGGGTAGAGTCGAATTTCTTCGATGCCACCACCAAGCTGACCAGAGGCACCTCTGCCCCAGGAGAGGAGCTGCAGAGTTATGACATCATTTTCATTGCTGAGTTCTGGGCTTCGGTATATAATGGGAGTCTCATTGGTGCTTTTAGCAGAGGTAGAAGCAGAGGATATGTGACGCCTGAAACGAAAAATGTGGCGTTGGCGGCGGAGAAACAGCATTATGTTGTTGTCACAAAGAAGGACAGCCTGGAACTTGTGAGAACCTAAATCTCTCCAGCCTGCGACCAAAAGAACCAGTAATCAGCCAAAAAAACCTATAAATAAACTTAGCAATATCTCATGCAGAATTAGTATGGAGAACCGTAAAACAAAATTAACTCAAACTGCACACTGTTAAAACACCTTATCCTTGTTATAAAAAAAAAACACCTTATCCAAACCAATACAGCACTGCAAACAGTACTGACAGAACATGATTTTTAACCTGTCTCCCAATGAGTATAGAGTACAAGAACAGAGAAGCTACTATAGTTAAAAATTAAAGACACATAATAAAAGTCCCTTTTCTCCTACCCTGCAGGAGTTTGGGAAAGGAACAAGCTAGTCAAACCATTTAAAACATAGTGTCACAACGTCTGATGCACGTGAAAAGGAAAGAAGACATTTGCGGAAATTTAAACAAATCCAAACCGAAGCACCCCAAGGGATAAAATAACCATTAAGATAACACTAAAGGGCAGAAGACGAGAGGCAGAGGGCAGGGGCTAAGTGTATTGCGGTTTGAGGTACAAAAAGGATGCAAAGTAAACTAAAGCACACGGTGGGATGGCCAACCAATACATAGATATTTAGTATCAATAACAGTTATGCTAGGAGAAGGCAACTAGACGCAGCCAAACACAGTAATCCCATGTTCGCCTGTTCAATCAGATACAACAAGAAGCCGTTTGCAAACATTTTCGATTCTCGTTTCTTTTAAAGAACTCAAATTGATAAATACTCACAATAGTCTGTTACTGCTAGAGTAAAAAATGGTTAAAGGACCAGCAATAAGCAAAGCAAGTTGTTGCTCGACAACAGCAGGCAGAAACCGTCAAACTGAAATGGAAAGGTTAAGTTCCCTGGACTTTCCAATGTTTCCCTTATAAGCAAGGGCAGGTCACTGGGAAATGATAATTGCAGCTCCATCCCACCTTCCCTTCTCAGCCTTTCCGCAGGGAGCTTGGCTTGGTCTTATCATGTGTAGGTTAAAAGATGAAGAAGGGTGTTTGTCAGAAGTTGCTTGAAGACTCCAAATTGATTCATTTCATCCTAATGGAACTAAAAGCTTTTTTCTGGTGCCTGGCCAAGCTGCCATTTTTTTAACACAAAGTTGCAGGTTTGACAGCTTCTTCTCATAGTTACTTTGGTTTGGATGTAACTATGACTCCAATACAGGTATCTCATCTAGATTTCTATATCTGCCAATGCCAATTTGAAAAACGGAAGAAAAGAGCAAGGTGATTCAGACATGTTCCTTAGTCACTGGACTGAGAAATACTCACTCTAGTGTTTCCCTGAGTCAGTTCCCAAATTTGACGTTCAACACATGTTTGCAAGCAATTTCAGTGTACTTGACAAATAACTCAAGTGGGATATCCTTCCTTTCAATTCATTGCCAAACACAAGAAGAGGGAAAGTGGACTCTCAAATGTTGGGATTGAAGGAAAAAGGCTTTGGCTTGAAGTACCAGAAACCTTGACATGCGCTTAAAATGTAAGTTCCAATAGCATAAGTTTCATTATTACAGAACCAAACAGTTGGGGATGGACAAGAGCAAACCTTCAAGCAAAAGATCAGAACATCAACTGCCCAATTGACGCTGCACGGAGCCGGGAATCCCAGTGAGCAGCAGAAGCGGTGTAAGGGAAATAGCGACGGCGGCCCTCCCTGTCAGCGGCGGCGGGATTCAGCCTCAGCGGGAGGAGGAGGGGAAACGGCGGCGACGAAAATTCGAATAATCTCCGGAGAAGGGAAGTGAGGGAGAATGATGAGGGAGAGGATACCAGTATCGACTTTATTAATTTGTGTTAGAAAGTATAGTATTTAACACGTACCTTTTTTTTTTCCACAAGCATACCCTTCAACTATGAACAACTTACAAATGTGTCCTTCTGTCAACATCACCGTCAAATCAACATCGAAATAAAATAAAATTTCAAGATTATCCCTCGTTATTATTAGAAATCATACAGGACGCTGTTTAGTAGTGTTTCGCAAACAACCTCTTCGTTCGTTCTATAATCCAATTTGAATTAAGAGGTGCAATAGAGGGAGTTCAATTGACATGGAATTTTGGTTATCATCGACTACAGGTGCAACCGGATACCAAATATGCGGTGCAACTTCTCCTCCAAATTGAGGGCGATGATCATCGTCACACAGTAGCTATTTAGCGATTCCATGAGCTTTAATATTATTACTAAGAAGTCATAATTAATCATATATATCGAGATGTTAATAAGTATGTGGATCTTTTAGTTGATCAAGGTGATAGGTTGCCTCTTGGCTTTCATAGTATTATAGAGTTCGGTCTTTTTTTTTTCTCTCCTATTGGTTTATGTATGACATTCAGAGAATTTTTGAATCCCGATTGATATTGAATGAAGGTCAGTATGCTTTGCATCTATTTATGAAAAAAAATTCATAAAGATAATGGTAAAATTATGACATGGTAAATACACATAGTAAAAAGCCATCAAGTTCCAATTTCACTAAGTATTGAATTAACGTCAATCGAGCTTCCTCTGGAGCCTTCAATCTCCTCCGGATGGTCTGATTGAGTCTCTTGTTGGGTTTTTGGAGCTCCTACATCTCTTTAGTGTGAGCGTGAGATCATTCGTAATCCTAGTTTCGTGTTACTTACGAAATAAACAACTAACATACATAAAATGCCTATGCCCACGTAATCCTTGTGGGTTAAGAATAACTTAGTTTACTTGAAATATATTTTCTCAAAAAAAGGACCTCGAGCTCAACCTAACTAGTGCAACCTTCTAACCACCAAAATGTAACATGAACCTTTCTTCGCTATGAGAGGATTTAACCACACACTAATTAATTAGAACGATCGTCCGGTGTCAAAATGCCGTGCAACAGGGTTTCCTCCCAAACACCCTATTGCACGCTCTAAACGATTATACGTTACCTCGTGTACTTGAATATAACCTCTTAATCCGAAAGAGAAGAATAACATGACATGACACGACACTTTCTCACTCTTAGGAGTGAAGTGGCCGTGAAAACGTGCTCCTACTTATTTGTTCAACATAAAATAAAATAAAGAGGAACTGAATCGTTCTTTTCCTGAAAATAGAACCTCCTCAGAAATTCAGAGTTTTGGCGACAAATGAAATGGTGAAGCCAGAGCAACTCTTATGGTTGTTCCCAGAGAAGCGTGGTGTGAGCAATCATGGAAGTGACGACGTAAGGGTCCATGTTGGAAGACGGCCTCCTGTCTTCAAAGTAGCCTCTCCCTTCCTTCTCCGTCTTCCTCCCAACTCGAATCGACGCTCCACGGTCTGCAACTCCCTGCAAAATACACACACATACCATATTTGTGTACATTCTCAAACATTATTTTACTCTGTGTCTACTCTTTGCTAGCAAACAGTGTAGTTCATAGTTTCATACCCACGAGAAGGTGTTGATCTCGGCCGTCTCGTGGCCTCCGGTGAGCCGACGCTCGTTGCCTTCGCCGTAGGCGGCGATGTGGTCTGCGTGCCTGAGCTGCAGCTTGTGGATTGCTTTCTTGATCAGTTCATATCCTCCTTCCTCCTCCCTCATTGCCTTGGTGCTGTATGTTAGATTATATAGAGATTAGGTACCATTATGTAATTTATACTTTAGGGTAATTTGTAGTATCAAAAACGCTTCTCATTTTCTTCCTAAGTTGTTACCTGAAATTTGTGTGCGCGCTAGCTCCATTCCAATCACCCTGTCACTCGACGTCAAGAGAGATCAGATTTGTAGGGTAAAGCGTGAATCCGCGTGACTCATCCTCGATAAAAATTAAAGCGCGGATTTTGACTATATTGGTTACCGGAATTGGCTTGGGGTCGAGGGAAAGCACAACTCCAGCCATCTCAGTGATCCTCTGTTCCCCCACACGAATATTAGAGGAACAATGCTCAATATGGAATCCTTGTTATAAATGGAAAAGAAAAGAAACAGAGACCAAAATTAGTTACCTCCAGAATGTAGCGAGCTACCCATAGCTCATCTGCTGCAGAAATGCCTGGTGATGGCCCAATTTGGAACTCCCACTGCAAACAACGTAATTAGAAACATTTCGTTGTAAATTTGTCGAGTAATCAAAATTAGTTACCTCCAGAATGTAGCGAGCTACCCATAGCTCATCTGCTGCAGAAATGCCTGGTGATGGCCCAATTTGGAACTCCCACTGCAAACAACGTAATTAGAAACATTTCGTTGTAAATTTGTCGAGTAATCATGCAATCAGGATGTGTCGTCTTTGACAAATTTCCCTCGTATCGAAAAAAAAATGTTGCATAATCGTTGATGTGACGAATTTTTCAAGTAAGTCAAACAACAACCTGGCCTGGCATGACTTCGGCGTTGATGCCACTGATGTTGACGCCGGCATAAAGACAGGCGTTGTAGTGTGCATCCACTATCTCCCTTCCAAACGCCTTGTCCGCTCCAATCCCGCAGTAATAAGGCCCCTGTAAGAAACTTGTTACGTATCATAAATCTCTCTCAACAACTCGAGTTATTGATATTCCATTACACTTTGTTTGAACATATGATTAATTAATTACCTGAGGGCCTGGATAGCCTCCAAGGGGCCAGCCGAGTGGCCGGTTCGAATCTTTCCAGAGCAGGGTGTACTCCTGCTCGATCCCAAACAGGGGCTCCTCCGCTTCGATTTGTCCGAAAATGTTGGCCGCCGCGTGTCTCTTGTTCGTCGGAATCGGGTCCCCCGCAGGTGTGTAAGCATCGCACATCACCAGCAGGTGGTGGTTTCCCCTCCTGAACGGGTCCCTGAAGATCACCTGCGGACTGCACGCCGACAATGGTAAATTACAAGAAAGAGCGAAGCCAATCCATCCCAACGGCGAGAAAAAAAAGAGTCTTATCTTACTAGAGGATGACTTCGCTGTCTTCTCCGGCAGCCTGACCGGTGCTGGATCCGTCGTAATTCCACCTCGGGAGCTTGGCAGGGTCACTCACAGGTCCAGAAAGTGTCTTTTTTGAGACCCAAAAAAAACAAGAAGGAAAGAGTTAACATCAGTGTCGTAGTTGTTATAAACGCGCTACTACGGATCGGAAAAATCGCCGGAATCGACAAAACAAGAATACAAAAGCGAGAATCGAAAACACGACACACGATTTACGTGGTTCACTAACACACATCATGTGTGTTTAGCTAGTCCACGGGCGCGCGAGAGAGAGCCAGTTTCACTATATCGAGGAGATTACAGATTACAAAGGAGAGGAGATGAGATGAAACCCCGATTAATCCAGTCGTAGTGGCTGATAGTCCGATTCAAGCCACATCAATCAACCGTTGTAATGAATTTCAGATGTTTTTGTGTTTATAGTTAAGGGGGAATCGTTACCCTTGCTTTGCTTCTCATGTCCATCCCAGACCCACCAATCCTGTTGCAAATACCACATCAAGAGATGCAATAGAAACGGTGGAGGAAGGATCGTTGTATATTAGTATCCATCTAGTCGAATTAGTACGAGGGAAAAGAATATAGTTGAAGTTGATAGTAGCTACCATATGTATTCGGCGATGACCTTCTCGGTGGTGTCGGAGAGGTTGATGAGATCTGATAAACGAGACATGTTTCTTTAATTTCTCTCCGTTTTGCTTACTACTTCTGATCCTCGTCTCTGCTACTTGTTCTTTGATGAATGGTATACTATTTTATACTGCAATTTCGAGTGCTCACCTCAGCTCACGTGAAACTTGTAAAATGAGACCAAAAAATACAATGATGGAAGCTTTTGGGACTTGGGAAGGTTCATTGAAAGACGGTGTGCTTTCTTTCCCTGGTGAACTGAAGCGGTGGCTTTTGTATTTCTTATTACGCCGACGTTGTTGTAACTTGTAAATCCGCTGATGATGTGGTATGAATATATGATTTTTTTTCATGTATCCTAAAAAAAAAATTTAAAGTCTAAAATGAAACCCACATTCTATCTCTTATCCCCACCGTATTTCCAACGTCTTGAACGTATCGTTTGGTATGAATAAATTCCATAAGCTTTGAGGAATTTATTTGGAAATGAAACATTTTTGTGTGTTGGTATTTAAAAAAATTCATTGTCAATTCTAAATTTTGAATTCTATGGAATTGGAACTAGTTATAGCAATTCCGAGGAATTGAGATGGAATTTCCAAACGAATTCCTCAAAATCCTCTTTTTTTTTAACTAAATTACTTATACATATGACACACCAAACACAAGAATTCATTTGACAATGAATTCTTACACTACAATTCATTTTATTTCTAAAGATTTGAATATGACATACCGAACCCAATAATTCATTTGATAATGAATCCTACACGATAATTCATTTTACAATGAAATGAATTCTCGGTTCATTTAGTAGTTGGTACCAAAACGGTCTGGGTTGTTAAAAAGATTAAATGCACAAACAAACACATTAATTTTAGTTGTTATATTTTTTTCCATGTAGTACAAGATTTGTATAACTTGAGGGGTCGTTTGGATGGATCAATCTAGAAATGAGTCAATTCGATCAATTGTCTCGTTTTATAAACGCGGCAATTAAAACGAGTCAATTCGAATTCCCTGCCCCCACCCCAAGTAATTGAAATTGACTCAAAACGGATCAATTTAAAATATCTCAGGCAGATTGATCCATCCATATTTTTTGTTGACAAACGAGACAATTTGGTACAATTGTCTCAAAACAAGACAATTGTATCAAATTAATTCGTTACAATTCCTCATCCAAATCACCCCTAATCCATAAATTTTAGACGTAACACCAATATCAAAATACATTTATTTTTTTGGAAAGGTTCAAAATACATTTTTGGGTACCATTTTATTACATTCTAAACATTTTCATCATATTTTCATAATTTTCAAATCTATATGACCCTTTTGGTCCATTAGCCCAAGTTTACCTCTCCCTAGGTGGCCTCGTCTTCTTCATTCAATCCCAAACTTCGCACAGAAACCCAGTGGAAGTCGAACAAACCAGAAACCGAAAACCCCAAATCCCATGCCATAGGTCTGGACCCTAAATTCCTCGTCTTTCTCCATTTCAATTCCGCGTTTTAAGTTCCCATTTCCCAATCTTGATTCCTCTTCTCGTCCCTGCCATGCCAAGAAAGCAGTTGTCTTTCACTCTCGGCCGCCCACGGAGCTTATCATCTCGTCTGCAATTCTCGAACTAGTCATCTTCTCTGTAAGTTTCCTCCCATTGAGGTATATGCTCCTTTCCTTTTTTTCCCCTCTGCAACTTAACTAAACCTTATGCTAGCTACTTGTTTTACCTAGGTGGCTCCACAAAAATTGGGGGGGTCGTCACCGTAACTGATGTTCAGGAACAGCAACATTACTGCTCGGCTTTTCGACCGCCAAATCTCAGCTCCTGCTCCTGGAACTAGTGTATTTTTCCTGCTGAACTTCGTATTTCATCTGCTTACTGTGCTCTGAAATTCCTTACTACCAGTCATGTTGCTTCTGTTTCTTGAATTGCAATGTACTCTGCTAGGTTCAGTAATCACTAATCAGCATATGGTACTAGTTCAAGAAGCCACATTCTTACCCGGGTTTTTTTGTGGTCTTATAGCCTCGTGTTCCCATTTTGACTTAATGGAGACCATTATAATTTAGGGTTGCTGTCCTGATTAAATAATACATATGGTTGCTCCGTCGATTAAAAATTTATGCTTTCTCTGTTTTATGCACATTATGGCTCTTGATGATGACATGTTGGCTTTGCAGGTTAACTGCAATAGAAGATTTTATGAGAATTTAGTCCCGAGTCATACCATCTATGATGTTGAGTGCCCGGATCTTTCATTCTGTAAATTTACTCATGATGGTCGATACCTCATCACCTTTAGTAGGAACCACCAGGATCTAATAGTATACAGGCCGACATGGTTGTCGTATTCGTGCGAAGGAGAAGTTTGTGATCTACCCTCGAAAGCGAGGAGGTTTGAGAGTTTCTTCACCCAACTGTACAGTGTCACGCTTGCTTCGTCGGGCACTGATGTTATATGTAAAGAATTTTTCCTTTACATGGAGGGTAACCAGTTTGGCATCTTTGCTACATCTACAACACAAATTCAGGACACTCCAGCTATTGGAGGTGCTATTCAGGGAGTCCCTTCTTTTGAGAGGATTGCATTTCATCTCTTGAGGTTGGAATGCCTTATCATCAGTATAGATGTTATTTATGAGATTTGTTTGAGTTCTTTCCAGTACTAGTTTTAATTATTTGTTACACATTTCAATGGTCAGATTGGAAGATGGAATAGTACTTGATGAGAAGGTCTTTCAGAACGATTATGTTAATTTGAACCATGACATGGGTGTCTTGTATGATGATCTACTAGCAATAGTGTCGATTCGCTATCAAAGGATACAGATTCTCCAGATCAGGGAATCTGGCCACCTTGTTGATGTTCGTGCTTTAGGTGCATTCTGTTACGAAGATGATGAACTTTTCCTCAATTCTAGCTCTCAGGTAAGTGGCATCTTTTATTTTTCTTTTTCTGCAAACTTTTCAGCCTTTCTCTTGATCTGGCTTTCGAATTTGTGCAATCATTGGAGTGTGGCTTCAGTTCTCTGAGAGTTAACGTGGCTTCTCTTGCCTGTGTCTACCTGACCCGTCTGTCAGCTGCACATGTGAAGGGAAAGATGATCTATTGTATTTGTATCTTGAAGTTTGGAATTGATTGTTGGAGTATCTATTGCAGTGCATGCATCAACTCTCAGAGAATCATGCTGAGAATGGTTTACATGCCAATCAGCCCAATCCAGATAGTCTCTTTTTGAGTGGTATCAAGCAGCGGTTGCTGTCCTTTATCTTTCGGGGAATATGGAATGAGGAAGTTGACAGATCACAGGTTCATTATTTTACTCACCTTTTCTTAAAATCTGTGGCAAATAAACTAGAACTGCATGTTTCAAGTGCTAATAATGTACTTGAGTTATGGACCTAGACATACTAGAAAGAAAAGTGGAATGAGGGGATAAGGTGCTTCTGCTTCATTTTTCTCGATGTTTCTTTAGTTCATTGTGAACTATTCATGGTTCTTACATAATGGTCTCTCCATCGTCTGCTTGAAGTTCTGTAAACTGAATGAAGGGGAAAGAAACAAATGAACTAGGTGATGAACACTATAGCAGTAGTGCGTGAAAGTGGTAGTCATCATATTCATATAGGTTTTCTATGCAGCTGAGTTCAGTGAGAACCAATGAATTGGTTGCCGTATGCTGTCTTTTCTCTTTATTTGGAGAAGTTGGAATCGTTGAACCTAAAAACTCAAAGTAAATGCTAGTGTGTGATCCTGGCTTTAATGGGCTTCTCTTATTTATTTTTACACGAGAAGGTTGATACATTTCAATATAGCAGCATGATGTGATGTGTGGCAAATTAGAAGTGGAAAATGCGAGGACAACCTCTCATCTTCACTTTGCTAGCACCTTTGCTAAATTATTATAGCTGTATCGTCAGGGTAAGATTGACAAGTACTTATTACTTTCATTGTTCTGTTTATCTTGTAGACAGTCCAATCAATGAAGAAGAAGTTCTATTTCCACTTTCAAGATTATGTGGACCTGATTATCTGGAAGGTACTGAATTAGCTTTTTTCCTTTTTTTCACTAGTCTTTAGTCCGTACAACATCAGCGAATGATATCTTATATATAGGAAATAACTAATGTGTCATTCATGTTATATGACAAAATTCATCTTTGTTCAGGTACAGTTTCTGGATCGTCATCACCTGCTTATCAAGTTTGGTAGTGTAGAAGGAGTGGTGAGCCATTTCTTCTTTCTTGCTTTCAAGTTTTAGCTTCATTATATGATCGATGTTATGTGCCTATCATTTAGTTTAGATTTAATTTAGCTTCATTATATGATTGATGTTATATGCCTTGTAGCATACATGAGTATAATTGTTCCTGTTATTTAGTTTAGATTTGATGCTACGCCAAGTCTCTTGATCATGGTGATTTATGTTTGTAGCTTCAATACTCTCGAAGTGCTGATCACCATCCATCATTCTTTGCAGTATATAACATGGAGACAACTGAAGTTGTTGCATTTTACCCGGTATTATTTCATGGGCATTAGTTCTATTATAAATGACGTTAAAAAATGTCTTTTCTGCGTTTGTTGCTCTAATATTCTCTTTTCCTCTGCAGAATTCAGCCTATGAACTTTGTGGCTTGTTTGAGCAGTTCGGCGATCATTTCTATTCAGCATCAAGAAATTTGTTGCACTTGAAATTTATATCATCCCACTCCAATAACATCCATGCTTCTGACCAACTCCGGATCGTGAAGAATAAAGCTAGTAGCTCTTTGCAGGTTGAATCTTTGCTGTGCCCACCATTGTCTGCTAGTGCTGCCATTCACTTGACTTTTTGTTTGATCTTTATGTTGCTTTGGTTCCTAATGTCAGTATTGTGATTATTTGGTCCTTCTTGTATCATCTTTAGAATAACCACGTTTGAGTTAATGATTTTTGCAGTTCATAAGGAAGATACTGGCTTCTCTGCCTTTCAGTTGTCAGTCACAAAGTCCTTCGCCCTATTTTGACCATTCTCTCTTCCGCTATGACGAAAAGGTTTGATTTTCACTAACATGGAATTCTCCCCCCTGTTTCATTTGTTTGTTCCCTATAAGGTCCCCCAGCTTGTTGAATGCTCAAAAGAAAATATGGATATCACTTAAGCAATCATCCTGTGCATTCTTTATGTTTTTGTTATTCTTTCACAATGATCATGTCTTTGTTGAGAGTATCAAAGTAATGTCTTCTAAGGATATGCTATTTCGATCTGTAGTTGATCTCTGCAACAGAGAGACATAGAACATCTGTGGATCATCCCATTAAGTTCATTTCCAGAAGGCAGCCGTCCGTGCTCAAGTTCAAGATTAAGCCAGGTAAAACGCTTGTTTGCTTCCACTAAACTGAATGCAGAAAGATGCACATCATATGACATGGATTATGGAATTTTCTTTTTGGTAGTTAAAAGCTTATCAGCTGGTTTCCCTGATAAAGAAAAAAACTTGTCTATTTTTAGGTCCAGAAGCTGGTAATGTGGATAATCGAACGAGGAAGGCATCTTCTTTCCTCTTCCATCCTTTCCTGCCACTGGCTCTCTCCATTCAACAATCTATGCATTTCCCGCCGTCGATGAACATTCATTACCGGCAATGAAGACGAACCGTTCCTATACTACCTGGGTTTTCATCATGAAACTACATCTCCAAACGAACTGCTGCGGCTTGTTGTGAGGAAGATGTATATCCTCGCTATGTGCGGTATTAGACAATTACCATCGCGTTTTTCAGAGGAATCACACGAATTTTCCAACGGGTTTGTTTGATCTTCCCCTCAATATCAATGTATAAAATTTGCTGTACGGTGTAATTAAATGCCAGAGAAGATTAGATCCCTAATCTTTTGTGATTTCCTTTCTATATTTTTCTTTGATTTATCGTTCTAATTCTTACGCGTGCTCGAGAAGTCATCCGAAAATTTTGTACGTAACATGCTGCGTATCGAGTGCTTAAGTTATCTTAATCCGATTTTTCAACGAAGATGAAGTTAGCGAGCTGCAACCAGTGGATTTTGTTGAAGAAGAATTAGAAACAGAACAGAGCACACCCAAGAACTGAAAAAACTCAATAACAAAAGCAACCAGACCACTAATTCTTGATTGAACAATGGAGTAAATTACAAACCCTAACTCCGTCCGTTCGTCCATCTTTCTGGATTGAACAGGATTCATTCAATCTCTCACCACTAACTTAATCAAACAGCCGCAAGATAACTCCCGCCACCATAACACGAAGCGGAGAGGCGAGTATCATCATTACGGTGGTCACGATGATGATAATAATAACAGTCAGGATGTGGGTACGTCACCGGAACTACATTCACCGGCACTGGAACCGCCACATGATACACAGGATGACCGCAACCCACCACCACCGCCGACGGCGGCTGAACAACTCCCTGCCGACGACTCTGCCTCGGAATTCTGCCGCCAATTCCATAGAGAAAATCAACATAACAATCCTGCCCGACGACGTGCTTCACCTTCTTCTTCAGCTTCGAGTAAACGAGCGCCGTCAGCAGACTATCCGACCCGGCGGTGTGCGCCTCCCCGCGCCGCTTCACCCCCAGCTCGTCGGCGAGCCTCTGCAAACCGACCTCGCCGCCGCCGGCCAAATACCTCGCCGCATACTTCACGTCCACCACCGCGTCGAACCCTTTCCCCAACATCTCCCCGAAATCCGCGGCGGTGTCCGGAATGGGCCTGCGGCCCACGACTTTGACGATATGGGCCAGGTCGTACAGCCCGTGGAACGTGACCCAAGTGAGCGGCCTGCTCCGTCGGCCGATCAGCCCACCGAACGCGGCCCCGAACTGGATCCGCTCGATCCCGTGGACCTTCAGCTTCGCGAAATCGACGCCGTGGGCCTGTAAGAAGCGGATGGATTCCTTGGCGTGCAAGTCTCTGTCCAGGTCGAATTCCAGGTTGAATTGCCAGATTGCGGCGACGGTGCCCTTTTCGTTGGAGAGTGTGACGCCCAATTGGATCAAATCCGTGCTGTCCACGTTGTGCTTCATGTCGGCGAACCGGACTTCCTCGCCGGCGTGCCGCCGCGTCGGCCGGAGGCACCCCGGGAATTCGGCGTCGACGGAAACGATTGGGTAGTCGCGGAGTGTGTCTTCCATGGCTGAAATTTCTTCGGCGAGGTTGTGGTTCCAGACTTCGCGAACGTGGAAGCCCATGGCGGCGATCGGACGGCGGACAATTTCTCTTTAATTACGACTTGTAGTAGGAAACGAAATACTGCTGCGGTGAGAGAGGGAGTAGTAAGAGAGCGAAACTTGGGAGTGAAGTTTGGAACTGGCAAGTGTGATGCTGAATTTATAGAGAGGCTGGCTTCGGCTCTTTCTGTTTGACCGTTGGAAGGAAGGAAATCCTTGTTCGGGTCGGAAACCGACTTGCAGGTAATTAATTCCTTGCTGGCCTAGGAATGGAATGGGTTTTGCTTTGCAAGCATTTGTTAGGTGAAGTTAAAACCCTAGAAAATCAGAAGACGGCCAGTGTGCTGGCAAGTATTTTGGATTAATATCCTATTTGGCACGAAATTATTTTTAAAAGAAATATTTGGTCAAAACTTTCAAGAATAATCAAATTCTAAAATAAAATATTTGGTTGGCTTATAATTGGTCGTTAATACCAACGGTCAACTCTTTTTATCGTTAAGGACCAGCAAAAACAAAGATGATGTGGCTACTGCGCGCGCGCATGACGTAACGGACTCCGATAGGAACCTCTTCGTGGAAAGGGAGGAGTGTCACGGCCTACCGGGAAAGCCGAAGGAAGCAATCAAACTGGAGAGGATCAGCAGACTAATATGCTACTGGAGTATACGATCCTCCTAGTGATAATCCTCTGTCTATAACATGACTTAAACGGAGTTTGAGGTACGATATTATACCATAATTTGTGATGGATAAAAAGTTCATGCGCTGATTCTCTAAAATCAAACCTAAAAATCAATTTAATCAATAAAAAAGTCGATGCTTCTGATTCCCTGTAGTACAACGAATTACATATAACTACCAGATCATTTGGAGTTCGATATACTCCTGTGGTACGCCATTGATAACGACTAGTGTACTTCTGAAGTATACCATATTCCAAGTGATATGGCTATGGGATGTACTTTGCTAGAACTTCGACAAATCAGAACCCTCGATCATTATTTTTTATTAAATTGATTTTTCGTGATTGACTTTAGAGAACCGAGACCTTGGATTTATCTATTAGAGGTTAGATTATAGTATCTTACCTAAAACTCCGTTTAATTCATGGTCTAAATTGTAATATCTCAATATTAATATCCAAAATAACGTACACTCTAGGAGCATAGCGGTTTGATCCAAAATATACATGATAACTTCTATCATTCCTGGGATAAATCTAGAGTACAACAAATTCTAAGTAAAAAAACGCTATGTAAACCTCGAATCAACCAAAAGTTGGGTGCAAACTTTATTTAACATAGAAAAACTAGATGTGGCAAAACTACCCTTAGTTTGCATATACCTTATCAAATTTACACACCTCCAAAATGGACCGAGGTTTCAAATTATAGCTAAGTTTAACCTAAGTTTAATTGTACAAAATTCCATTCCCATGCTCATCGTGACTTGAAGGACAAAAATAATCCTGGGATGTACTAATTATACATACATGATTAAAAAATCGTCTTGAGCTATATTCCACTATGCACACTGAATTTACAGACTCGTATTGGATAAGGGTGGTGCATTGAGCGGATACTATGTTATTACTTATTAGCTTACCCTTCAAAGAGGGACACATTGTCCGACGATCTCTTAGGCTTGGCGCAGTCTGAATGCATCCACCCAATTCTGTTCTTCTCATTATCATACACCACCAGCTGCCCCCTCATCGATATATCTGTCAACAACACAGCACATTAATCACTGAAATGGGTTGTGAAGCTACAAGAAGAAAGAGCATTTTTTCAGGTTTCTAATTGATCATGCATACCTCCTAGTATGATCGTGGAACCATCAAGAACTTCGCTTCCATCGAGTATACCCAAGCATACATTGCCTCCTTTCTGCAGCAGGAACAGATCAGATAATCGTTTTACTTATCATCACTATCCCAGATTGACTTCTCCAGTGGCTAAAATGTTGGTGCAATTCGACGTAAAAGAGGGAGGAGCTTACGCTAATAATCAAGTAGCCCTCTGGATGGATTCGAAACATCCTAGAGATAATCCACCACTTGCTTCCAAACTGAAGGGTCAAAGTCTTGAAGTGCTGCTTTACATCTGCAACAGATCTGCAGAGCATCTCTTCCATAAGCAAATTACTTCAATCAGTCTAAGGTAAATGCAAAAATAGAAAAATTGTCTCTGCTAGACCCATGAATATGGCGGTGACGATTAGAAGGCCCAACACATATAGGCTTCAGCAGCTATGGTGAACATGGCAACTAGTATGTTCCGAGTTTTGACCAACAACTCCAACCATTTCCTTCCGCATCTCGTTACCTTGCAACACGAGCTTCTTGTGCAATACTAAATTACATCTAGAATAGGCACTCTTGTAGGTCAGAAAATAGTTAACCACCCTCTCTGAAACCAGTTGTTACCTAATTGGGAATTCTGCACGCCAGCAGAGAGGCAGTGTCTGGTCTGAAGTATCTTGGGTTAGCCCTACCTTGGCGACTTCCTTGAGCTACATAAGTGCATTGTAATCAGTATCACTGACAAGTGCATGAACTGAAATTTTACTATCAACATGTTAAAAAGGGAAGAAAGAAATACTCACAGAAGCAACTAGTTCAGAATATGCATCTTTTGGCAGATAAGTAAAAGAACTACCACTATCAAACACTACTCGTCTATGTCTGTTGTCTTGGCCACCTAAACTCAGGGATCTGCTTCCATAACTCAACTTCATGATCTGTGCCTGGTAGAAGTCCCTGCACGGGGAGAGTAGAAACCGATAGTCAAGCACTGTGAAGAATATTTGTCAGTCTAGCAATAACAGAAGTTGGACAAGCGTACAATTTACTACACTTCAACATAAAGTGATAACACACTTATCCAATCTAAATTCGCTTACGTGAAAGGCACGCCGAACATAGGAACCCATTGCACACCTCCTTGAGGTAGGAACTCATCACCTAAGAACATATACCCAACGCCATCTACATCAGTGGTAAGGCAATGTCCTACCACATTGGTGATAATCTCTTGGCTTGCCAGCTGAGAAGGTAAGCTAACTTTGGCTCTGCTCAATCCCAGAATTCCATCTGTCCTTGCCAGAGTGTTCAAAAGGGAGCCTTGCTGATCATATGCGCAGCTAGACAAGACCAATGATAAACTAGTAAATATCATCATTTTGTTACCAAGATCAAGTACGTAAAAGGATCTCGTTTTCACAAATAGGAGAATCAAAGATCTTGAGCGTACCCGAAAGTAAACTTGGACTTGGAGGATTCCTCATTTTCTATACTTAGATGAAGTTCGTCATTCGCAAGAACTCCCAAGGAGGAGCTATGATCTGCATATTCGACCTCATAGTCACATTGTTTGCATGCTTCGCATTTTTCAGCCTTCATATTCTTCTGAACTTCCTGGCAAAATGAATCTTCTGGAGGCACGATATTGCTTTTTTGGGGCTTGTACAAATCATTTGCTCCCTACATCAGTTAGATCACTCCAAAGTTTCAGCAAACAGGGAGCATCACACTGAATCTACGATGAATCACTTCAGTATTGATTACCTTTGCACAACTAGTACAGGGAGCATCACACTGAATCCATGACAAATCACTTCCTGTGTCAATATCAACGTAGTAAGGCCTTGGAGGGCTTCCAATTGTAATGTACGTGTAGTAAAAGCTGCACAAAAGCCAAAGAAATTTGGTCAACAGAACCGATCAAACTCACCTTAAGACTAGTCTGCAGAAGCTTATCTAAATTAGCTGTCTGCTAAAAATAGAACAATTGAGCTTTGGGGGTAAAAGAAAAGCTAGAGAATTGACTCATACCCATCTGGAAAAATGTTCCCTCTGACGGGAAACAGTGGCGATGATGATGATGATCGCATCCCCACTTCAACAGCACTTGAAGAAGACAACTTATTGACTTGCATCGGTTCGATCATAGCACCAATCGATGCCACTGAATTCTCCTTATACACAAATCTCTCAATTGTATTTACAACTCCTTCCTCCAAAACTGGCGCAGATGCACCCTTGTGATACAAGGGCAACAAGAACGACTTCCGCTGCTCTTGATCGTCCTTGGAGCGCTTCAACTCCTGAAGGGTATCGGTAAAAAGCGAGGCGTAGATGACCAAGCCGAGGAGCGAGATACCCAGAAAGAGACTCGCAAACGGGAAGCGGATTGGAGAACTCCGCAACGACGGTGGCGGTTGTTGGATCGGCATTCGACCTTGTTCTTCTTGATGTGGGTTATCTCCCTGGAGAATGGTTTGCTGAAATTGTAGGTATTCGTCGCCATTGTTGTAATCGTCGTCGGTTACCGTGAAAGCTGTGATGGTTTTGCCCGCAGAAGGGTTTTCAGGAGGAGGAAGCGAGATGATGACTACACCCTTCACCCGCGGTGGCCGCTGATTCTCCACATCTTCTCCTTCGACTGTCATCGTCGCTGGGAAAACGAATTTCAGAGGGCAGAAACAGGAAGCTTGCGCGGAAGTTGCGAAGGGAGCAGGTGAGGGATGGTTCCCATCTTCCTCTCTCTCACACACCCTCTTCGTCTACTTCTCCAGAGGAATCCGAAGACCACTTGTCAAGTCAATGCTGATCGCTGAGCGAACCCAAAAAAGAAATTGAGAAAGGGGGAAAATCCCTGTTTTTGCTCCGCCGTTTGATTTCTGTTACTTCTGTTGCGGATCAGCGATGGGGGTTGTTATATAATGTTTTTTTTTTTCTTCTGTTTGGATAATCCAGGCATGATGAATCAGATCCAAGAAAAAAAGTGAACGATCAGTCGATTACCTTCAAGCCTCATTATTATTATTATTAAAAAACTACTCAAATAATTTAATAATCAAACATTTTCTCTCCATCAAAAGAATAGTCAAACTTTCTTAAAAATAATTTAATAGTCGAATCTTAGTATTCAGACGTAACAAATTAATCGTTAAGGTGGAAGTTTTTGAGGTACGTGGGGAGGTAGTCATTTCAATCTTTTAACTCTTGTCACATTAGCATTCTTTAATTTTAACAGTTGCCCAAGTGCAGAGATCGTACGTGGGTGGGTTTGGCCTCTATGACACGGTCGAGGGGTGCTTGATTTGCTCTCTTGATGGTGCATTGAGTTGGCTCACATTCGATGGTGGGCTTCATAGCTTCGAATGCATCGGGGGACGTAGTGATGGGGGCACTGATTTTGTTATATAGGCATGGAAAATACTTTGTTAGTCGAGTTTGGTAGCATTGTGTGTCGCGCTCTAGTGGTGTAGGCAGCTCAGTGTGACTCTGTGAGTGATGTACGTTTAGAGGGGAAGCACATGAGGTGATTCAAAAGGATAATGCACCCAAGACCCGAGGATAATGCACTAGAGGTGGAGGTGGTGTTATATGAGGTTCATTGGCTAATGTAACTTTTCGAGGAATAGATGTGCATTTTGTAGGCAGACAAAACAAAATTCGAGTGATTCAATCATAAATCGATATATTTCTTATTGTTTCTCGCAATTTAAACCTCCCAACAACAATCCTCATCCTCGGGCTCCTCTATTTTTTCCTCCCTTTGTTTTGTGCATCCTGCCTCTACTTTCTCTTTGATAGACCGAGTGGGGGGCAGAAGAAAATCGTCGGGCCTTCTCTGCCCTAATTTCCTTGATAATGATAGTGAAATAGAATCGGTCATGGCTAGGTTTTATGTTCTTGAACTTTTGGGGGGACTCTTGGCCCATTGTAGAACAAACACAAATCTAACTAGTTGGTAATTAGTATCATATTATCTCGGGGGCTCTCATGATCACTTACTCATATCACAAAAAAACTTGTTGTTTTGAAGCCTTAAAACGAATGTATGGGTTGAGGTCCCTTTGGTGTTGAGGTTCACTTGATTTTAACAAAAGAAAAAGAAAAACCTAACTACTTTAGATGAGGAAAGCAAGGGAGAAGGCGTTGCATTGGCAAACTCTCCCTAGAGTTCATTTGGACTTGCTTCGATTGATATGGCAACATAAGAGTCATTTGATTCTTGCAAGATTTATTCCTACTTATATCATGACGTTTACCAGATCCAGTAAGTTATAAGGACTCCCACAAATTCGTTTCTTGAAGTGTCACGCAGTTCAATCAATTGATGATCGATTGTGAAGAACGTTTCTGTCAAGCCACATCCAACACAAAGTCAGATTTCAAAGTCTATATAGCATGACTGCATGAGATCATAGCTTCGATTTAGCATGCAGTCATATTGGCTAAAATTTTATTCCCATATAAATTTTGTTAAAAAAGACAGCTCTATTAGAATTCTGGATGTGCGACTGGTTAAAGCACCACTCCCTTGCAGTTTGGAGACGGGTTCACTAACACTAAATTCCCGCCAGCCCAGTGTTCACTGCAGCTCCTCAATTCCCCTCGCCGCCCCACCGTCCGCCTCCGTCCTTCTTCCCTCGCCGGCGTCCGGAATGCCCTCCGCCTCCACGTTTTCCTTCTCGCTCTCATAAAAACTCCACCTTTACTTAATTTTCGAAACTAGTATATTCTTCGCTCTCCTCCCCCTCCTTCGTTCAAAAACCAAAACCCTAAACAGAGAAACCCCAGCTGTTCAAGCTCTCTCGTTTAGACAGCAATCATGTACGGAGGAGGTGAGTTCTCGAATTCCTTGCCCTTTCCCTAGCTCCGTTCATCGCTCTCTTCCACTTTTTCTGCTACGGCTGCAAAAATTGGTGATTTTTTTTTTGTTTTGTTACCCACCCGCAGACGAAGTATCGGCTATTGTCTTAGACTTGGGCTCTCACACCTGCAAGGCTGGTTATGCCGGCGAGGATGCTCCCAAGGCCGTCTTCCCTTCTGTTAGTTTCTCTCCTCACGTCTTCCCTCCGCATTTATACTTGTTTTGCTGCATCTTTGTTGTTTGACTTCAATGCTTGCACTTTAAAAGTTGTTAACTTTGCTGCATTTGTAGTTTTTGTCTTTCTTGTTTAACAAACGGGAATCGATTATTGCGGGTGAAACTGGTGTGGGTTTGCAATGTCCCTTCCCTGCAATCATAATCTGTGACTTCAAAACGTTTTGGTGCAACACCTGTAAATTGGTTTTTGCCGATGCAAAGTTATTTTTTAGGGACTGGTTCCTTGAAAGCTTATAGTTCCATTTCGTTGTCCAGTTAGGTAGGCCTCGCACACATGGCAGTGTTGGTTAATTGGCACTTGATTATCAGTTTGGTTACTGTTGATCCTAGCTTTTGTTCTGATTGCTGTCTCGCATGCCTTCTTGCATTGAATTGCTTTTGCTCTTGAAAGTTACATGCAAATATTGCATGTTAGAAGGAATAGCTACTTGTGACATTTCACGTAAGGCTAGTGTAGAGGGGGCATTGCTTGAATTTGGCAGAGTAGATTTTGTAGTCGAAGCTAAATTTGGTTTGTAAAACTGTTTGTATGGCATCCTCGCTGTTTTTTCACACCTCAATTTGCAAGTTCATCCTGTTGCTTGCCGGGTTCCTTTAGAATAGTCTGGAACTAGTGAAGTAGGGATGGACAGAGCTTCTTGGATTATTAATCCTCAATTATCAGGTTGTTGGAGCCATTGATCAAATGGAGGTCGATGACAACACAAATGGAGAGAAAAATTCTTCCATAGATTCGAAGGCCGGTGTCAAAGATTCTGAGAGAAAGGGAAAGCGCAAGCTATATGTAGGCTCTCAGTCCTTGGGATTCCGCAGGGACAATATGGAGGTAAGTCTTCTCACCCTCACCTTCTCATTCAAGTTTCTGGTAAGCTGCATTGACACTGTACATTCTGAAGACCTAATAAGTTGTTCTTATGTTGCATTAGGTGTTGTCACCCATTAAGGATGGAGTGGTCATGGACTGGGATATTGTGGATAGCATATGGGACCATGCCTTCAGGTAATCTTGGCTCTGTACTGTTTACATGTCTTCTTAGTTTGAGTTTTCAGCAGTCTTAATTGTAAAATTCTTCAGGGAGTGTTTGCTAGTCGATCCAAAGGAGCACCCTATGCTGCTTGCAGAACCTTCATCAAACAGTCAACAGCAGAGAGAAAGGTGACCTGCCTGTAACTTGACTTTAGATGATTTGATTTGTAGATGGGTTATGGCATTGTTTCATCGTCTCTACTTGTCTGCACATTACCTTTTTCTCATTTGGTAAGTTCTATCTATTTTTCTACTGTGTGGTCCCTAATGAAGAGTTCTATTACTTTTACAGGACGGTGGAGCTTATGTTTGAAAAGTATAATGTCCCTGCCCTCTTTTTGGCCAAGAATGCTGTATGGTTCTTTCCTTTTTGTTCTTGTTTCTGTAATAGGATATTGCTGTACTTTATACTTCTTATCTTTTTGTTTTGAATAGTATGTTTTGATTAGGTCAGACTGAAATATTTCTGAATGTCAGGTTTTGACGTCGTTTGCCTCCGGACGTGCTACTGCCTTGGTTGTTGATAGGTAGGTGTCATGGTTTTTCATCATCAAAATTATTGATAATTTAGTTCTATTGTTACTTGTTGATTATTCTGTGGGGTTATTGTTCTGCTCCGTGTGTGGCTTAGCTCACTCTGGTGTTTATCCAGTTCTACTTTATTCCATCAAGTTTGACTTATCATGTCTATGGATGAACTTATACCAAGGTCAACTATCTACGTGACAGAAAGATGGTTCAGTCAATCATTGTGGTTCAAAACATTCTTTAGACAAGATTCTTGTCTGTCTGGAAAGCTGGAGTAGACATGCCTGAATTATGGCGTGCCTGTTATTCTCTAAGAAGCTTGTATTTGTGGGGTTATACTTTTCTTCTGAGTTCTGACATGTTAACATTGGTTTGCTATGGCTGAAAACTAAGTTTGATATTGGTGTTGTTTCTAGTGGTGGTGGATCAACTACAATAGCTCCAGTCCATGATGGCTATGTCATTCAGAAGGTATCTCTCTTGCCTTGAAGCCCTCAAGCCTACACTTTGAGATCTGTGCTTGAGTTTAAGGCCTTGTGCCTCAAACCCTGTGAGGCGAGGCATGATTGTGAGATAAGACGGACAATTGCGGTGCACCTGTCGTACATAGGATATTTCCTTGTTGGACGTCCCCTCATATGTTTTGCTCCTGTTTTCCTTGGAAAATTTTGTTATAGCTGGCACAGAGAATTCCAGAAAATGAAGAACAATTGAATATCTTAAGTTCTTATCCTAGAAGTGTATGCTAGTTACGGTCAATTGAAAGAATATATGTCTGACTACTGCACCATAAGGAGGGAGAAAGTAAGCTATAAGTCATCGGTAGTATTTTTATTATTTATTCATGTCAAGTACCCACTGATATTCTGTCTTGCTCCTCTCATGCTCACATGTAGGCCTAGATTGTGATAAAATGGTGTGTAAATTTGGCCTTGCTTTGTCCACGGATGATGGCTTGCTTCAGTGCCTGATTTTCTTCATAAGATGGCTTTTCAATTTGTTCCCTCTGTGTGGTTGGTTATTGTAACATTTTTAGATTCTATGTAGATTTTTATCATAGACTTCCCAGAATACAGTGGGACATTAGAAATGAGTGAGCTGATCTGAACAATTACTGATGTAGTTAAGAATTAGTAACATATTGAAATATCTTCATTCATTCTTGTGTGTGGATATCTGATCACTTCTGCACCCTGCTATCTGAGCAGAAAGCATGGTTGCTTAATATTGCAGTAAATATCTACTGCTGAACCTATTTTCTGATTTTATTTCTGTGAGAACAGGCAGTTGCCTCATGTCCTATCGGTGGGGAATTCCTTACCGACTGCTTGTTGAAAAGCTTAGAGAGCAAGGGTGTTGTGGTGAGTTTATAAGGAAACCTATTTGATCATTTAGTTCAAGCTGATACAACAGGACACTGATATTATTTGTTCCTCTCCTTCTAAGTGTGAATTCTCTGTGTGGATATGCAGATAAAACCCAGGTACTCTTTCAAGAGAAAGGAAACACGCCCTGGTGATTTCCAGGTATATTTTGCATGATGAGATTTTTCATTTTCTTCCTGCTATCAGAAAAGGTGTCTGTATGTGTAGAGTTTGAGAGATGAAATGAAAATGAAATATTTGCTTTGGTAATCTATTTTTGGAACTATATAAGGGGTGTTTGGTTCATTTTATTTGGAAATGTATGCTATTTGTTCGATTGCTCTATTTGTCTTGTTGGATTGATGGGTGCCATGGGGCTATCAGGCCTCATTTGGATTCTACCAACTGTGAATTGTCAGAAGAATCAAACTTATTTCCTTCCAAGCCCTATAGGTTTTAGTTAATTAACGCCTCTGAATTATAGTCCAGAAACTTCTCCTTTTTTGCTCCCCTTCTGTTCTGTTCTTTCCTTTGTTTTTTTTTTTGGAAAAATTCCTTGTTTAGTTGTTGCTAAAGCTCTGTTCAGTTTACTATTGATCTGCTGGGAATCGCTGACCTTATATTGCTGTTTGAAATTTGCTATTTTGTGGTTTGAACCTGACAGGCAGTTGATGTTGATTTTCCAAATACAACAGAAAGCTATAGACTATACTCTCAGGTCTCATTCAATTCAATGTTCCAATTCGGAGATATGGTTCCATCCCGATGTTCTGACCTTTCCTTTCCTTTTCTTCAAATAGAGAGTCATTGCTAGCGATATCAAGGAATGTGTATGTAGAGCTCCAGATACACCATATGATGGTCAGTGTTTATTTTCTGCTTTTCTTTGAGGCTCTTTTTCTTTTAGTTTCTCTTCATTGGATTTTATGATTTTGAACCGAATCTGTCCGAGTTCATTCATCAATACTGCTCATTTACTTTGCTCTGATCATCTGTGGTGCATATATCCACAATGTGGCACCATTGCCTCATATCTGCATTTTGTCAGTATCATTCTTGTTTTATATCGCTGTGTACCATATTAAATTTGACCAAAAGCAGGGAGAATTCACATCTCATCCTTGCCAATTAGCATCCTAGTCTTGGAAATCTGGCAGCATGAGTGGGAATTGCAACGTGATAAATAATGGCAATTGACATGGACAGGCATTCATGTTCCCATTGTCTCTAAGTGTCAGATACGATGAAGTCGAATGCCAGAGGATTCGCAGATGCTGCTGGAAATAACACAACTCTTTTATGCATGATGTCTCGCTGAAAACTTTGAGCTCCTCGTTTTTAGTTACTGTTCCAACTCTGTCATTCTTGTGCGCAAAGATTTGTTGCCTTCCTCGTTTTTTATGGAACTTGCACTAAAAATTTGGGCTCCCTTTCTCCTGGAACTCATTTTCTTTCTTCAATGTGAATTTCAGAAGCATCCTATTCAAACATTCCAATGACTCCATATGAGCTTCCTGATGGCCAGTAAGTCGCTTGTACAATCCATGAAACTCAGTTTACAGATCAAATTGGTGCTTTCCGTGTACAATATGCTACAAAATATTTATTCTCGCATATTACTTTTGTGGTTATATTCACAGGACAATTGAAATTGGAGCAGATAGATTCAAGATTCCAGACATTTTATTTAATCCATCTTTGGCACAGGTCTGTGAACTTGATCTTCATGCTGCAGCTCTTTTTTTATATGACAAAAAAAAGTTGGGGAGTACTTCAACTTAACATCTGGTTTTGCTTCGTGGACATAAATGTTTCCGACTCTATGCTTTTGGCTATTGGGAAGATTACTGTATTCTAGTATACTCATGGAGCCCTACCCATGATGTGAATGTTATGAGAATGATGGAAACAGTGTATCAATAACCGGCTGATTTATTATATCTTTTCCCTCCTAATTATCAGACAATTCCTGGTATTGAAAGCTTTGCAGAGGTTGGTCCAAACGTCCGTGGTTTGCCCCAAATGGTAAGTTGGTTAACTTCTCTATTTCTTGCTTATAGTAGGAATATAGCTTTGAGCTAATCAGCCAGTTTTCCGGTGCCTGCAGGTGATAGATAGTATCAACAGGTGTGATGTGGATATTCGGAAAGAGTTGTTTAGTAGCGTACTGGTACGTGAACTGTGTTAGTTTTCCTTTTTCTAGTATTGACCCTGACCATGCAATGTGCTAATGTATTGATAGTTCCTTTCTTGTGTACTTAGTATATGCCTCTACAACTGGTTTCATGGAACTGTTTTATTGAAAACAACTCTGCATTTACTTGCCATTGTGTTAAGCATTTGGATATGGTTCACAAGTGTCATTTTGTACTGTAGTAGCACTGTTCAAGCTAGCATACTTTTAATATGCAAGTTTAAACTTCTAGCATTGGGATAGGTCATAGGTATAGTGGCTGGTTTGTTGAAATTTGCTATTTAGTTGCTGTGTAAGCCTGTGATAAATTCTACTTCCATACATAGCTTTCAGTAGTAATGCAGTTTTCTTGGCTACCCTAGAACCTCTGATAAATTCTATTCGCCTACATGGCCACTCAATGCCTTTCTTTTCTGTTTTTTTATAGCTTGCTGGAGGGACAGCATCAATGCAGCAGTTAAAGGAGCGTCTTGAGAAGGACTTGCTTGAGGTACTTTCTTCCTGTGCAATAATAATTTGTGTTCGAGTAGAAGAGAAAACTAAGCCTCTTTATCATCCCCCCTCGCGCGTTCTCTACATAATTTCGTGTGGAGATATAGGAGATTGAGTTTGATATTAACAAAATTGTCCTTCAAACTGCAGGAGTCTCCTCAAACTGCTAGAGTTAAAGTTCTAGCTAGTGGAAATTCAACTGAAAGGAGATTCAGGTTTGCTTTCTGGATCTGCGAAACTCCTCTTCTTATTTACTATTAATTCTCTCTTCAATCCGGAGGTGTATCTGAATGTTTTATGTTAAAGTGACTGTTTCCTTTTAAGTTTTCCCTAGTTTCCATATCCGCACGTGCTTGATATATTGACATATCATAGATCATGATGTGACAAGGCGATTGTGCACGAGAATTGAACTCTGTAAACCCCTCACCCATCTCTAACCATGTACTGGGTTGTCTTAATTCTATGCAGTGTTTGGATCGGAGGAAGCATATTGGCATCTCTTGGCTCATTCCAGCAGATGTGGTTCTCCAAGTCAGAGTAAGTAGATTAAGATGCACTAGATCACCATTATCCAGAAAGCTTTTACGGATAACTGAAATATAAGCATGTAGAAAGCCACGGACTGAGTGAGGGAAAAAAAAAACCCCGGATAATATCGTACAGAACAAAGTTGATGCTCGAATTCACAGGTACGAGGAACACGGAGCGTCTTATGTACAAAGGAAATGCCCTTGAGGCTAATCTTCATCGTCGAGAGTTTGCAGAGGGAAAGATTGTGGACTCACCGTGGTTTGAGAAATCACTGAAACTATCTTGGCGGGAGAATTTCGGATCGTTCATCAGTTTCGTTGTTTAGGCACCAACTGAGCATTGTAGTATCTAGATGGTTAAGCAGACTAGTTGCTGGCCGGCGTTCTAGGCCTTGTTCCATTGATTGCCATGTATTTCTGTGATTGGATACAACTTTGGTAATGTTTTATCTCCACTCTAACTTTAAGTGAAAGATATGTCAATGTATCATAGGTAACTATTGCCAGGTGGATTATGAATTTCGTAGGACAAATCAACATTTTCACCATTGTTCTGTATGACATTCGTGCGTTCATTGTTCAACCAATGGTAGGATATGGTAATGTCATCATATTATAGGTCGTAATATACTAGTATCATATGTCGGCTTTTAAGGATCGCCGTGGCTCTATAGTTTTCGTGACTAAATAGTCGAAATGTTTTTCGATTTGACAAAGGTCCAATAGATATAATTTTACCTTCAAAATTGAGATGATCAATTTGGCAAATATTGGACGCAGGATGACAATTTCGATTTGATCTGTTTTACTTCATTTATTTTTACCTGTTTTGGGTGGATAATGTTTGTCCAATAGGCAAGGCAGGGTATGTAACGACCTGGCTAGATGCACTTTGGTTGTGTCGTCAAATAATAACGAGGTTCACAATGCTTACATGATCATCACATTATACTCAACACGAAAATTAATTTTATAGTTGTAAGACTTGCTACGCTATAGCCTATTATAGAATTTTTGTATCTATTCTACTTACTATGAAATAGTTAAATTTTCTATATACGAATTAAGTAAATTTCAATTACCAACCTACCCACTGATAATCGATACGGACAACAAAAAATGCAAGTGACCTAAATTATCCCTTTAGTTATGTACATAGATCTATACTTTTCCATTTAAGGCTCAAAATAACTCAAGAAGTCATGTTTTAATCATAATAATTAATAACTAGGGTTGTTAATGATCTTTGCCATGGTTTGGGCTTGGATCGTTCAAATAATTCCAACGTCGAGTTTGGCTTGAGTTCGACACGAGTTTTAATAGGCAAGCTCGAGTGCGGCTGGTTTATAAACATAAAAGCTCAAGCTCGGCTCGCCAAATGAGATTAACAAGCAAACAAACGAGTTCCACTGATAAAGGGTCAATTGTAGCCAGTGGTGGAGGCAGCATTTCAAACCACCCCTGTCCTCTTTTCATAACTTAAATATATAAGTATCTAATAAATAATTATTTAATAAAAATAATTATATCCAAATAATTCATTCATAAATTAAAAATAACCGATTATACTATCATATTTTTCAGAAAAAACTACGAAAAAATTTCATATAGTGAAAGAAGCGCAAAAACATTCGTTGTCTACACTATTATATAAGTCTCTTTCATTGTATCTTTATAAACAAGTATTAGCAACCTGGTCGCCAAATCAACTTGGAAACTTGTTCTTAATATAACTCAAAGCTGAAAATGCTCTTTTTACACTTGCAGTTGTAATTGGTAGATCAAAACTAGTGGGATATATTGCCGTTGTTGCTATACAATTCCAGGGTTGTTGGGGAAAGATCGAATAGGCATAAGGAGAAAAGAGAGACCCAATTAGTTCTTTATTTCAATTGGAATTTCGTTTATTGTATATAATAAATTAATTTTATGTCAATTTTGGACAAGTAATGAGTTGTGTTGTAGTGACAAAGTACTCTAATGCTGTCTATACGTGTTGTGTTCCATCACCAATATTAAATATATATGGCGTATTTTTGTTCCACTGAAATTTACCCCTGTCCCGGGACAAGGCCAAAAGGCCCTGCCTCCGCCATTGATTGTAGCTCATCCTCGAACTCGAACTCAACTCACTATACACCAACAACAAAACACTTAAAGGCTTTCGAGCTAATTCATGAGCTGAACATGTCATGGCACGAGCTCGATTCATTTACATACAAACTTGTTCGCGAGCCGACTAAATTAAAAATAAATCGAGTGGCGAACCGAATCATCCATAAACAGCCGCATTTTGATTCATTAGCAACCTTGACTTGTCCCATTCAGGTCGTGGGTAAAAGAACCGTTGTAAAACAAAAATAAATAAAAAAACCCAAAGAAAATCAAAATGGTTAATGACATCATAAACCCATTTCCAAGCAGCGGACGGAATCCTTGAACGAAAAGAAATCGGAAAAACCTGGCGAGCACGGATTACCACTTCCGATCCGGACTCGGACACAATTAGAAACACGGAAACAGCCGCCTCTTCCCTCCATTATATATACAACAAACAATATAGAAACTTCCTAATTCCCCACTTAGTTCACTCCAAAATCTCCACTCTCTCTTCTCCTCATCGATCGCCGGAAGCAAAATTCGAGCCCCGGAGCATCAATTGATTTCGCCAGAATGGGTTTCCACGTTCGCGAAGTCTGGAACCACAACCTCGCCGAAGAAATCTCCGCCATGGAAGATTCCCTCCGCCACTACCCAATCGTGTCGATCGACTCCGAGTTCCCGGGCTGCCTCCGCCCGACGCCGCGGCACGCCGGCGAGGAGGTCCGGTTCGCCGACATGAAGTTCAACGTCGACAGCACGGATTTGATCCAGCTGGGGGTCACCCTCTCCGACGAGAAGGGCACCGTCGCCGGAATCTGGCAGTTCAACCTGGAGTTCGACCTGGACAGAGACTTGCACGCCAAGGAATCCATCCTGTTTTTGAAATCCCACGGCGTCGATTTCGAGAAGCTGAGGAGCCACGGGATCGAGCGGATCCGATTCGGGGCCGCGTTCGGTGGGCTGATACGGAGGAGGAGCAGGCCGCTCACTTGGGTCACGTTTCACGGGCTTTACGACCTGGCCTACGTTGTGAAGGTCGTGGGCCGCAGGCCCATTCCGGACACCGCCGCGGAGTTTGGGAACGTGATGGGGAAAGGGTTTGACGCGGTGGTGGATGTGAAGTATGTTGCGAGGTATTTGGAAGGCGGCGCCGCCGTTGCCGGCGGCGAGGTCGGGCTGCAGAGGCTCGCCGACGAGCTGGGAGTGAAGCGGCGCGGGGAGGCGCACACCGCCGGTTCGGACAGTCTGTTGACGGCGCTCGTTTACTCGAAGCTGAAGAAGAAGGTGAAGCACGTCGTGGGTCTGGATTCTTATGTTGACTTCGTCTACGGTATTAGCGGCAGAATCTCGAGGCAGAGTGTTGCAGTCGGAACTACGCCGCCGATGGTGATTCCGTTTGGTAATTGCCGTGTTCCGGTGTATCGTATTGCGGTGCCGGTGCCCGTGCCGGTGCCGGTGGTGTATCGGAGCTGCCGTCCCCAGTATCCAATTCATTATCAGCACCGCCGTAATGTGCCGCCGCGGCTTTCTGCGGCCGTGGGTTATCTTGCTGCTGTTTGAGCAAATTGGTGGAGATTGGGGATTTGCCGATTTAAGTCGAGTTTCAATCCAGAAAGATGGATGAAAGCCGATTTTGTAATTACTTCACTTATTGCGGAATGAGTGATTGTTGCTCATTTTTTAAGTTCTCTGTAAAGAATCAATGAGAAGAAGTAGTAGTTTTGTGATTTCTTCTGTCCCATTTTGCTCATTTCTTGCTTTGCTCTGTTCTTCGTTCTCCCTGTTTTTGTCACACAGATCTAGCTGCCACACACTTCTTTACTTACCTCCGTAAGAATTTAACTTGGTTACAAAAAAGTTACAAACATATCCAATCAATTGTGACGGCCGTCGAGCTTCAAATAAATCATGTCGCCAAAGAATAAATCTCCTCCTGCGAAATCTAAGCTTATATTCCTTCTGTTCCTTTGAGAATCTATAATCAGCACTGGACATCATTCTCTGAACCAATATCTGTAAAACAATGGAGATCCTGTTCAGCTATTGACTAGCCAAGTTGTTCCATGCGTTTGGAACTATTGACAAACGTTGCACTCTTGTCAAACCCCTCCAGCAACATAATCCTCACAGCTTCAATGCCTTGTTGAAATGTCATATCTAACTGTGCCAAACAAACAAACAAATTCAGTTGAGCATCAAAGCTTTACATGTTTCCAACAAACACTTTACACCCGTTACTCTCTCGAGCAATCTTTACCTCTTCACGTTCTTGTCTGTTGAATGGGCGCATAACGAAGTTCACAGCATCCATCTTCCCAGGAGGCCGCCCTATGCCTATACAGTGATTGCATTAACAGCTCACAGTTATTATGCTTACTCAAAGAGGGAGTAGTTTTACAAATTCAACATTAGCTTAAGGAGAGAGCACACCACCTACCGATTCTTAACCGAGGGAAATCTCGACTACCTTTGAGGCGATCAATGACACTTCTCATCCTAGAGACAAAAGGGAGGGTTGCAAAGTTATGTGAAATGCTGGACTTCGCGACACACAGTAGTGTAGATACATGATATCATGATCCATGAGTAGTAATATAGTATGCAAGAGTATACCCATTGTGTCCACCATGTCCACCTTTTGGCAACAATCTCAACTTGGCGAAAGGCAAATCCAAGTCATCATATATCTGCAAGACCACATCAACCACTTATATGAGCATTGAAAGACAAGCCATGTCCAAAGATGTTAGGACTAAAAGAGGACCAAACAATTACCACGAGCACTTGCTTCAGTGGAACCTTGTAATATGAGACAATGGGTGCAACCTGCAATTATGGAACATTTAAGGATTACAGTCCCCACTGCAAGGGATCAGGTATCAAAAGATGCTTGCAGATTGATGAGCTTACTTACAGACTCACCACTTGCATTCATGAAAGTTTGTGGCTTTGCAAGCATTACAGGGATATTGCCAATAAAACCTGGAATTCAAGGAACAACAACCTATGCTGTAAGTACAAAAGATTTTACAAGAGAGACTCATATTCAAGTGAAAAGGGGAAAACTTGGGAACCTCTTCCAAAAAGTGCTTTGTTGGAGACTGTAGTCACCGATATCCCCTCAGCTTCGGCTATTGCATCGACCATCTCAAAACCCACCTGCAAAAATCAAGTACCCAATTCAAATATTGAATCAAAATTAAGCAAATTTCCATTAAGAACTAACTCCAATGATGGAAAATAACAGCAGAATCTAAAGAGGGGGAAAAAGGTTGGTTACGGACGTTATGGCGAGTACCCTGATACTTCTTCCCGGGATTACCCAGACCAACAATAAGCCATGGGTGTTGTTTAGGCTTAACCACCGGTTCGCTCGGCAGCAGGGCGGCGTCGGAAGCTGGGGAAGAGAAAGCGGCAGAGCAACGGGCCGGAGATTGAGGCATGGTTCTTTTGTGACAGAATGAAAACGAGAGGGGAGAAGATGAGGGAAGGAATTGGGAAGGGAAGAGCTGATGCAAAGTGTTGTTGTAAGGGAAGCGTAATGTGGAGGCGATTGAAGCGCCGGTGACTTTCATGTTGTATAATTATGTGATTTTGTAGGGTTTGGGAAGAAAGAATGGCGGAGGGAAGGGGATGGTGGATTTGCCGCGTCTGAACAGGAAGCCGTGGAGGCTAAGAATTACGAAGTCAAAAGGGAGAAGATGGACGATGCGTAAGGTATTCAATTCTTTTTCTCGTCCAGATATTGTCCATCTTCGCATAAAAAAAAGAAGATATTGTCATCTCGATTATTTTTGCATAGTTTTGGATTAGTGCATCATGGTGAATTATCAGAAAATCATCATTTTTTCATTGTTCAATAATGAGCACATTTAGCTCAAAATTTGAACAAGTACTCTTTTATTTCACGTTAAAACTCGTCTTGTCAGTTAAGGTCTAATTGTTTATGATGAACGATAGATCTTTCTCGTATTTTTTTTATATATTGGTTTTGTTTAATGTATTACAGACACTTCTTTTTAGGACTCAACGTTCTCGTTGAGAATTGTCTTATTAATTCTTCAGGTCATCCACAATGGTCTAGTGTCAAAATGCTAATATGAGTGCTAAACTATTACAAAAAAAATCTTTTTTCGTGCTTCTGTAAACGAACCCTCAAACTAGGTCATTCTACTCATTCATCATTCAACTTTCGGTCTTGAAAGCCTTCATATATTTCTCTAGCCAAAAGCACTCTTTTCCTTCATGGATTCCCCTAGCAGAACACCAGATGAGAGACAAAGTGAAGTTGATGAGAGGTAAAGGGAAGCTTACGAGAGGCAAAGGAAAAGCTAATGATAATCAATAAGTATGTGTGCCACCTTGAGCCTGAACATAAAAGATGTTCATCATGCACGAAATCCTCGTGCGTCAACAACAAGCAACATCATCTCGTCATATCTCAACTTCACGAAAATGAATAAGGTGTAATAAGGAAGACGATTACAAGAACTGGATACAATATTATTTTGTCTCAATTCCAACCTGCGACGCTAGGGCTTTCACATTCTGAATGTACCCTGCTTTATTCAATCGAATCATGGATGATGTTGTTCATTACTACTTCAAGCAAGACAAAGATGTGGCAAGTTGCGACTCATTCCCCCAAACCAAAACCTTACTATTTTTCCCCGGATGATTGCACATGGATACTCAATAGACTCTTTGGATGAGACGTTCCGAATGATTGATAGCACCACACCAGAGTGCCAAAAGGGAGTTTTGCTCTACCATCACCAAACATTTATGGTTTTCAATACTTACGTGCATAACAGTGGAAGATCTTCGTCACCTTCTTGATCATAGTATCATACATGCTTTCCGGGTATGAGTTTTAAACCCGTAAAATTATAAATGTTAAAAAAAAAGTTGAGAAATGGAATTGTAAATGAATATCTCTTTTTTTTTCTGATTTCCACCAAAAAAAAGAAGAGAAGAAAAAAGAGAGATATTCATCATTAAGTGGTATCTCGAATAATAAGGAATAAACTCTTACAACTTCAATTTACCATATCATTATGAATCCAAATATGTAACCAAATCACGGGACATTTAATTCACAGTTATGATGCAGATATCAAAAGAAAAATCTCTCTGGTTCAGTTTCTGTGGACTTCAAAACTCAGCTTCCAAACGCTATAAAACGGCATGAATGTGCTCACCACTGCACCAAAGCATATCTCTTTTCGATTTCAGAATTTCAGATATCAAGAAAAAAAATCAAAAACATCTCCGACATGAAATCCTCCATGCTGTTTCTTGTCGTTGTAGCTCTTCTGCTATTCTCAGTTGCTGTGTTGCCTCCTCCATGCCATGGCGGCGCCGTAGAACCCCTCGATTGTTATAATGATTGCATGGACAAGTGCCCCGGAAGAACACAAGCTTGTTCGGCGGAATGTAACAGAGTATGCGATCCTGATTCTTTGGTATCGAAGATTGGAAAATATGGTATCGGTTCCAAAAAAATGAATTGAATTTAGTTATATGGGGCATGAGTTAGCTAGCTAGGAATCCATGGAAGAAAGACAAATCCTTTGTTGCAATATTATTTTCGCACCGAATAAATGCTTTTGTATAATGTTGTTGTTGTTGTAATAAAAGGGGTTTTTTTTCATAGAATATTTGTAATATATTAGGCAAATACCACATCGACAAAGTATAAAAGAGATTCATGGTTCATATCTAAGAAATAAACCATATTTAACAGAGTGTAGGAGTGAGATACGAGAAGAGTAGGGTGTAAGTGAAGGTAAAAGAATTTTCGCTTTTATCCTTAACCTTTTACGAGATTACAAGGGATAAGGCTCGAGGGAGAGAGAGAAGTTTCTAGTTTTCTAGGAAGAGAATTTAGAAATCGATCCCCTCATCCACCGGGGTAAATGTTCTATTTATAGGCTACCTTCCGGTGGATGGGTTTCCGAGGTGACATGGCATTTGGAAGAAGAGACAGAAGGTTAGGGTATGATGAGGTCTATAAGTAAGACGTGACAGCTTTGTCAGTAATACGGTGTCGTCCCTACTCTTTATGCGCGGTAGTGCTGTCGCGCGGACACCTCACTTGGTGACCGGCGCGGTCTGCCCTGTCCGTCTGGGGAAGATGATGTTCTCCGTGTCGTGCCGCCTTTTGACGCGCCTTCTTTGGATACTCGCGGAATGACGGTTTTCGCGAGTTCGAGTGTTTTGGGTCGATCTTTCCCTTAGCATTTTCTTATCTTTCTCAGGGGTGGTGAGCGTGCGCCTGTTGGAGTGGATGGACCCGAGCTAGGGCTGGCTATTTGGTCCGGTCTTTTTGGGTTTACCCAAAACTGGATCGTATAACCCGGACCGGAACCGAATAGCAAACAATTCAATCTCATTTTCGGGTTTAGATATGAGGTAACAAACCGTTTGGGACCGGATTGAAAATCGGATAAAGACCGGATAAGAGACTCCAACACCCTAAACTTAGAGGCATTTTAGTATGCTATATAGTACCCATGCTTTAATATACTTACAGCCATTAGATCTTGTTATAAAATATCAGCCATTGGATTGAAGTTATTTAATTATTATTATTTTCATTTGTTGGACTGGTAACCTGTTGCACCGGTTCGTTACACAATAATTTAAAAAAAATTGAAATCCAGTCGGGGTAAAGGCCACCTTCGATCGGAATTCAGAGCTTCTCACCTCTTATCACACCATCTTCGACCATCGCACCCACGGCTGTTTACTCTTCCTTCGATCCTCTTCCTTCGATCCTCTCCACGCAGCTAGCGAGCCGGATTCCGACGACGACAGTGAAGGCGGCGAGCAGTGGGTGACGACGAGTAGAAGAAGCTTGTCGATTGCAGCATCTCTTTGACTGCGGCGAGCCGGATTCCGACGACGACAGTGAAGGCGGCGAGCAGGGGACGACGAGAGCGAGCATCTCTTCGTCGATTGCAAACGAAGACCCTCTTCCCATTGATAGCAAACGAAGACCCTGCACAGAACCCCCTCTTCCCATCGATAGCAAACGAAGACCCTGCACAGAACCCCCTCTTCCCATCGATAGCAAACGAAGACCTACCTCCTCCACCGCAACTTTTTCCGGTTAGTATGCCTACAGTTCTACAATTTTATTCAATTTTCCGGTTAGTATGGCTATCAGTTTAGGGATTATATTGGGATGTTCTAGATTTACAAATTTCGGTAGGGGGATTGAAATTCCATGCTCGTTTTACCAGATTGAACTATGGATTGGTTGTTTAGGAACTTGACGAGCTGAAGAAGAATCAGTTTAGTTGTCTGCTGTAGGCGAAGAATCAGTTTAGTCATCTGGATTAAGTTGTATAGCATACTGAAGACGATGAGATAGGAGTGGGTATTTGGCCAAACTTAAGTGGCTATTAATGAAAGGCAAGACAGAGCAAGAGGCTGCTGCTACTGTCAAACGAGTTGATATGAACTTGACTTTCTTGCTGTTGTCATTGATCATGCGAATGAGTCTATGCATGTAGCCGATGATGGAGAAAATAATATATTGCTTATCAATATGCTCAGATTTAGGTTTATGAGTTTAATTGGTCATGTCCTTTTACCAGGTTGATGTCCTTGTAGTATCTTCTTTGTGTTTAGCTTGATAATTATCTCATGTTTTTATATGAATCACTCAGGGATATCGATCATTATGTTTTCTCATTATGATTGATTGGATGTGTTGGAATTGTGTTGATTGTTCAATCAGCCACCAACAAGTTGTTATGAATTTACTCTATTGTCACTCAGTTTCTGTGATGCTAGCCCTGTGTAGGATAGATGGCTGAGTGGTTCAAAGTGAAACATTAAGATCTGTTTCATTTGTTTTTACTCAACAGCTGATATGAGATATCTGGTAGCTGATGGTTTAGCATTATGGTAGCTAAATTTGCTGATAGGGCTATAGATGGAGAGAGGTCTTTGTCAAAGCAACGTGTTGTAATGTGGTTGTTGGTTGCTCCTCCATTAACCATACAACCATAGATTTCCTGCTAATAAAGTTCATTGTGAGTCGATTTACACATTGAAGCTTGAAGGGAGAGTTGTGCATGGTTGTGGTTGCCTTGTTGGGTAGTGAACAATTTAATCATGTACCAAAGAGGAAAATGCTTGTCACCAAGAAAACTCACACTTGGTGAAAGAGCCTAGGAAATAGCATGCATGAACCAAGCAAAGATCATGTGTTCTTTATGTGGTTTTCCACCATAGCTAAATGCTATCTCATGAAAATGATATCATAAATTAGTTTTGGAAACTTTTTTTGTTTACTTTTTCATAAATGGAAACTCCATTTCACTTGGAAAACCGGTGTGAGTTGCATGTGTCGAGAGAGCTATTGCCTTGTTGAGTTACATAATCGTCATTCCAAGCATGCAATTCATCTTGTCTTTGTGAGCGCTGGGAGAGGAGTCCTAATCATGTTCCCATTGTGGTTAAGCTAGCAACTATTTGTAGTATGCTTGTTGTGTGGATGTATTGTAGAAAAGGGTAATCGAAGCATTTGTCTTCTGTGATTCTTTGCATGAGCTTTGCATTAGTCTTATGTGATTCTTTGCATTCATTTGAGCTTTTTATTTCGTTTGAATGCTAGCTCCGTCTACGTTTATGTGATTAGTACCTCAGTTTACTATTAGAGCAAGATTGTGATGCAATTGATAGGTTATGTCGTGATTCATCAAGTAAACCTTGGACTTCATCTCCTCATGCTTAATCATTAGTTCATTCTTTCATGCATTCCAGTATTATTTTTCTGATTAGAGATTCATCTGTAAATATGCACTTCTCACGGCTCATCTGTAAATATCACGGGCGTGAGATTAACCCGTGATATGGTCACAGCTGAAACTCAAAAACACGCCTCACATATGAAAATATCACGGCCGGGAGATGTACCGTTA